TAAATCAAATGCTAAAGAGGGAAGACTTGTCCCAATCCTAGCACTAATTAAACAAGAAAAAAGCCCTCTTCAGACAGGAACATTGTAATCCTAGCAAGACTTTATAAAACCCTGGATCCCAAATGAGGCCAGGTGCCAACCTATTTCTGGAAGTGTTGATTTATACACATAATTTTCACTTACTAAATTTTATTTCAGGTAGAAAACATATCATTTACATTTCATGTCAAACACAGAATAGCTTAATTTGCAGTTCCAGTATGGAATTAGTGTATGAATGTTAAGCCAGTGTAGAAATTGTAGGGAGGTGTTTTTTCCTTAGCAGTAAAGTCATAAATTACCAGCCAGCCATTCACCCTTACGTTCTTTAAATCTTTGTATAGCGAGCATATGAGAAAGAGCTAACCAATATTTCAGGAGTGCAAGTTCTTCTAGCTTGGAAAGTCATATAATTTCAAAATAGATTTTTGTTCCAGAAGAGGTATTATTTGTATTTGAAAGACACTTTCCATCTGGCATGTAATTCCATCATGTATGCCATGTTTTATTGATGACCTCATGAAATTGCACACTTTCTGGAGTCCATGTCGGTGCTACTCACAGCTCTCATCTTCTCTGTGAAGTAAGAGGAGAAAACACCTGCTTGACATACTCTGCTTTTTACAAGGTCAAACTAACCTAACTGAAGGATAGCCAATCAGATTTTAACCATGTTTGCAGGACAAAGGAGGAAAGCAAAGATGGCACATTTTTAACTTCCTTTAGAAATCTCAAGTCTCACTTAAATGTTCTTCCTCAAGCAACCTCACCCCCCAGGTCTGGCAGAGTCCCAGAAAGACCCTGTCCTCTAGCTCCACCATGGTCACACTTTCCCAGCACCGGCAGGGACCTCAGCACTGCTCTGCAGTCTGGCAGAGGACAGCATAAGGTGCTCTGTAACAAACTTACCAGCTAAAGGCTGAAATCCTGCTTCCACGAGATCTTCATATATATGTTTGACAGGATTCTGATGAGCCAGCACTATACCATGTAACCAGATGAGCAACATTCTGTTTCCATGTTCCTTATAACTTTTTTTCCCTATGCAATACACAAAGGATTTGTCTGTTCATATAGAACACACTGGAAACAGTGTATTTTGTGCTTTTGCACTTTCAGAGTTCCAAGAGATTTTAAAACCTACTCAGTTACTCTTACTTTCTCTCCTACAAGCAAAATGAAGACTGAAACTTGCAAAGGTTAAAAAAAAAAAAAAAATTCAAGTGTTATTCTAAGGGTACTGTAAAGGGAGAAAAAAAAGCTAATTAATTTTTTCATTTTTCCTTAACCTGTGGGAATATACTCTGAAGTAGTAGTAAATAAGTACAATACCTGCTATAGAACTATTGCTTTCCCAGCACTTGAGATGCCTGAAACCAGAAACTGCTGTTTCATGGCATCTGTGAACACAGAGGATGAACAAGGTCTTCCTGTGTCACAAAGTTCCCCAGGTCCCTACTTGCAGTGTGACCTGCAAGAGCCTTCCATGACTGCTCCTGTTTTTGATTTCCAAAGGTGAAAGTTCCTTCAAGCCAAGAGGGAGAACAGAAGTGGCCTGTACTTCTACAGCACTGCTTCCCAGGAACCAGGGACAAGGCTTGTAACCATTCACTGCTCTTTTTCATAATTTCAGAAAGAGCAGGATGGGCAGTGTGTATCTGTGATACTGACACAGTTTAAAAAGCATCTCTGCTGTGTGTTTTTTTTATAGCTTACCTATGGTGTCTAGCCATTCAGATACTGTTACCTGTCCATTGTTGTTCAATAGCTTTAATTTGTTCATCTGTGAACTTCCAGAATAGGGCCAGTTTTTTCCATTCCTGGGGTTTTAACTGGTTGTATGCTAGGTTCCAAAGGGAGGAACGGATTTGCTTGGTCTGTGTACTATGATCTTGTTTGAAGGAGAAGCCAAAGTCTGACCCGTCATCACTAAGAGCTAGACGTTCCTGAAAAAGAAAGCAGATGATGATAAATTTTGTCATGAAGCTGGGAACCTTTGTTGAGTCAGCAGTAAACACTGTGTGCTGTACAGCCATATGTAGCTACAGTTGATTTGCTTAGTGCAGGTAAAAGAACCATGTTTGGCTAATAGAGCTCTTTGGAAGATGTCTTAGCATGGATGATGTTATTACAGTCTTAGTAACAGAACAGAAACGAAGCCCTCGCATATCTATTGCTGTCTTACTAAGTTAAATGCAAAATAAACTACTTACTTTCCCTGCTACTTGATACACAATAACAAGTAACAGCAAGTACTATGCCAGTACTGCTGTGCTCCTTGGCTCCATCTACTTTATATGTCACGTTTTGAACACAGCTGCATTTCAACCACAGTTCTTACTCTTTCCTCTTGCTTCTCAAAATGCTAACCTCTCCCTGAGGAGAGGCCAGGCACCCCCGGCATGGTGCTTGCGCAAGCTGTTCGTACCTCTGCCCCATCAGCTCAGCTTGGCTGAAGCAGGGACCAGCGGGTCATTTGACGGCAGCATGAGCCATTGGGTTTAGCATGTGGGGCCCAGTTCAGCAAAGTATCTAAGCACCAATAAGCACATGTGTGTTCAACCTGGATCTAGTTTTATTGCCTGCATAAGCAAAATCAGGTAGAAAGCAAAACTGCAAGTATTTTACCCTCCAGACTAAAAGTGCTGTTGCTACTGTATGCACAGCTCACCTGAAACATGAGTGATGGGGTCACTTTTGTTTGGACACCTCTGCAAAAGCCATGTCTAGCAGTGATTTCAGCCCTAGCTGAGCAGTGCCCAGGGAAAAACCTCATTCCTAGTGTAAGTAAGCTCAAACTACTTTTATATTTCATTTTGTTTACATGCCAGTCCTGTTTCAAATCAGTCTCCAAAGTGAAAAATGCCTTCAAGAAGTCGATACAGGATTACAGAGCAGATACTAAGCAAAAAAGGAAATGGCAGCATGCCACATTTTAAAAGTGCTAAGCATAAAATACTCTATTCCAGATTAAATTCAGGAAAATACAACAGGGTTATTTCCTAACCTTAGGAGAGTCTTGCAAGAAAAAAAAAAATCTTAGTTCAGTAACTAAGCATTGTCAGGTATTTTTGATTCCATTTTTCTCGTATAGACTTTATTTCATGCTTCCTAACACATGCAAGGTGAGGTTTAGGACATTCTACAGGACAGCCTCAGGCTCTTCCTGGTTCAGTGTTTCTCTTCTGAGGTTTAAAAAATCAAAACCAACAAAAAAATCCACAAGCAAACAAACAAACAAAAATTTTTTCTCCTCACTTTGTAGCAGCCCATCTTCTCTTTGCTGCTAATTGTATGTCTAGGCAATGACAGGGTGGGATAGTAACAGCAGCTTTCAAATCCAGGAAAAAACAGGCTGGGCAATGATAGGCAAGGGTTGGTTAGAAGCAGTAAATAGAAAAAAGGTCAAACAGAGAGAACATGATACTCTCACACACATTACTATCATGTGCACTTCCTCACAGCAACATGACATTTCCTTTCATAACTAATGCCTTGTCATGGATGGTAAGTCAGCTTGATTTAACAAAATGACAGTTCTTACTATAATGGCTCAAAATGCTGTAGTTTTGTATATGGTAACACCGCCTGAACGTGGTGTTTCACACGTCATATTCCACAACTATAAACTCTACGCTGCTCCCAAAGGGTGTGCTCTTAGCTTCAGGTAGTGGGATACAAACACTTATGTTTCTATTCCGCAACATCTGGAGCTCTTGCAGAAGACCATCAGATTAAGCATCTTTTTTTCTCCTCAGGCAATTCAGTAAACTTATGCCAAGAGGTTAGGAGCATCTCGGGCCCACTGCTGTCAGACTTCTCACATCTTCTCTGGCAACAGATGACTTCACTTCTAATTCCCCTTTAGTCCAAAAGAAACAATAATGTACCTACAACTCCAGCTGAACTGATGCAGATCAAATATGCACAACACAATGAGTTTGTGGAGGTGTTTTTTATGATAATTAATCTAGATCTGTGATTTACCAGCACAATGCTCTATAACATTAAGAGTCATGGATTTGGACAGGCAGGGCCAGAGTGGGCTGGTAAAACCGTCTAATTCGTGTGCCTGCACTTAGGCAGGATCAGTACACATGTACTGCCCTGGGAGGCACTTGACTAAACAAACACTCCCTAGCAGGAAGCAGAAATGAGAATAAAGTTACAGATTTGCATGGCAGCTCAGCAATGACAGCACAAGAGCTGACAGTCAAGTGAACTCCTTTCACCAGTTCTTTTGCCCCAGTTTGCTCGCTCTGGTGTTCACAGAATTACTTGGTCTACATAAAAAAAATTGTGTTAGCGTTTTCCTTCTTGCAGGTTTTGTGGTGGATGCTACAAGAGATGTCTTTTACTGCCTCACTAGGACCAGTCTGCAAACAAACATTGTATTTGAGAGCTTGGGGATTTTAAACTGTATTGTGTCAAAACCCAGCAAATCTAATCAATTCTCAGGGAGCCCACATAAACCTATGGCTCCAAACAAGAAAAACTGAGTAAGCCAATACAAGACTGACTTATGGAGTATTAATATGCCCTAAAATGAATCTTCACCATCCTATGAAATACCTCCCTTTCATCAAGTGTGTAGGTATAGCAGGTTCTTTGTGGCTCGTTGCTACAACTGTCATTGATGGAATAAATAAACTCTTTCAGAATTCGAAATGGTCCCAGTGAAGACCCCATGACATGAGATGTCCTGAATTTTCAAGACCTGTTTGGGCTAGGTCTGAATTTCAAGGTGTGGCTATAGAATCAGCCTCACCAGCAGCCCAGGTCCAAATAATCCTTTGATTGTAAGAGGTACTAGGCTTAGATTTTCTTGTTCAGACACTGCCTATACAGCATGTACAGATTCATAAGTGATGTGGGATATCAACACAGGCCAAAATGATTGTCATCTACACTTTAATACATCTGACTCTCAGCCCCTTAGGGGGGCCATCATTAAGCAGCCTACGTTTAAATAACAACTAGGGAAATAGAAATTCAGACAATCTGAGGGCAATCTAAGCCATGTCCTTCGGACTTGTTGCCTGGTTCTTTCTCATTTCATTGATTGCATTCTATAATTCACACACATAAAACAGAAGAGGGAGCTCCTGCCAAAGCAGCTGAGCCCTTACTAGCAAAGGAATGACAGACACCTCCTCTATTTTTCAACCACAGATTTTGCTGTACCAAAGAACACAAGGACCAATGTTGTTCGAGTAATCCCAGCCCTGATGCTGATGGCACAGTTAGAATTTGCGTTAGAATCTCTCTGCAATGCTTTATCTCTGTGTGTAGAGCATAATGCAGGAAAATGATAAGAACTGCCCACAATTTTACAGCTAGTCAGGAATAAAACCTGGATGGAGTAGAGATCTTTCCATTCCCAATCCTAACCTCAATTTATCAAGGCAAGTCTTGCAGCCTACCAAAAGGAACCACCTCAGGCAAAAGGTGCTTCAGGATCATAATCGGCTTTTCCCCTCATAGTTCTCAGTGTAAGGAAAGATGTCCCTTACCTGTTTCATGGCATAATACCTTTCTGCTTTAATGATCATGTCTACAATGAGGGCATGATTGCTCCTTGATGCCACAGCTAGTGCAGTTTTTCCATGCTGAAAGCAAAGATAGTGAATCAGAACATTATCTCATATATATAATAGAAGAAACACAGCAGCTTCATTTACAAAGCCACATCCCTTTTTTTCAAGAAAATTTATTAGTACATTTTTATGGCTTCAGGGTAGCTACAATCAAAGTTCTATGCTTTGCATGGACTGTATCCCCTCACCCCAGAGGTGGTCAGTTTTTTCCCCTCACTGAACTCCCCCTAAAGAATTTTTAGTGAGGCACAACTGCTTTCAGAAACCTCCTGTACTCAGACTGCTGTGTACTTCATGCCAGCTCACACTTTCTAGTCACAGTTTCCAAGTTCCTGCAAGCCCAGGCATCCACAGGCTGAAAACTACCACAAATACAGTCCATTCCCGTGTTATGCTTAAACTGGCATTTCCACTGGATAGCCTGGCAAAGTTGGAAACCTCCAACTTTAAGGGCAAACCTGTGTCTTGTTTTGGATGGTAAGAGAAGCTGGCTCACAGAATTAAGAGAGGGTGTGGGAATTACTTTCTCATGACAACTGAAGTGAGCACAACCGAAGGTGACATTTCATGGGCAGTACAGGCAGCCAAAGGAATGAAAAGCGATTGCTTTAATTCCAGCTGCAGAGGACTGCTTAGTCTATCTGAACGCATCTCTGCTATCAGTACTTCGATGTAAAGACATCGCAGTGGCTCTAGAGGGTTCTCTCTGCAATTGTCTATTTTCACCAGATTTGCACTGGGTGGAACTGCCTCTGATTTAAATATTCAGGGTACTCTCCACATATCAAGTACTATGCATTCTAGAAAATTAGACCTAAAAGAAGCCAATCGCTTAATTAGAAGGTTCAGTAATTAAATTATAAGGCATTTCAACTCTCCAGCTATTAACAATTTCCCTAATATATACCTTTTGAGTTCTAGCTCCTGGCTCTGCTAAAGATCATTCTAATTAGCCTGTTTTTAGAAAAGCATCACATTGGAAGACAAAGAATTTAGATTTCATAAAATCTTTATAGCATAGACATACTTTATATGTGAAAAGTCCAGAGACCACCACAAGAGTTCCTTGGGTCCCACCTCTGGAAAGGTGCTCTGCATTTCACAGGGAGGTGGAGGGGGTGGAAAAAGGGGGTGTTTCTGGTCTCCTGTGCTAGTGCAGACACCACTGGCGTCCTGCATGCACATGTAGCACAGGAGTCTTGCACACAAGAAGCACTCTCTGCAGTATCAATCACAACCAACAACAATTACATCTGCAGATGGGACGATGAAGGAATGCCTGAAAACACATTTCCTGAGGGGTAACAGCTTGCAACTCGTGCAGATGCATGACATGCTCTGGAGACTGAGGACTCTCTGTTGCTAGGGCACAGAGGCCAGGAAAATACTGTGCAATCAAAGCAGGCTCCCCTTTTTCCTGCTTGCTGTTCAGTAAGGACAGAAACATTTTTGGCATCTCAGTACCAATTCAGTTCAAAGGGGGCTGTACTTGCAAATGTTCGCAGCAGTGGCATGGCCTCAGGGGTCATCTGGCAAACAGGCAAGGGAAAATCTACTCCAAGAAATAAAACCAATGCAAAAAGGTGACAGAATTTGTGCTGGCTCAGAGCCATATTCTCATAACATGCCCTGAACTCTGTCAACACTGCTGTAATACCAGGGCACTATCCAGCCCAAAGGCTTGCAGGTGCTTAAGGTCAAAACAGGCAGTAAGAAGTAATTTTCTGTGCCCTTGGAACACAAATAGCTACAGACAATTTTCCAATGGCTAAGGCACTGACTAAGGTGGACAAGATTTCATTCTGGGTTAGCCCATGTGAGAACTGCAGCTCTCTGGCTAGTGTAGGCATGAGTCTGAATGGGAAGGCTTAACTGCAATGCAGCATCTTACCTCAGCCTCCCAAAACACATCAACCATGTCACCCACACTCAGAGCCTCAAGCCTCATGTCTCACTATAGAAAAAAAGAGAGATGATCCAAGTCCATAAAGCTTTACTCCTCATCAGGACAGTTTTGTACATGAAAATGACTTTTTCAAATTACTAAAGAGCTAGATTTTGCTCATGATAAACATCAAATCTGTCAATTCAGTCATAGAGAAAATCAATATAGTGGTAACAGTATAAAAAGGGGAAGCTCAACCTTGCAGTAATATAGCAAAATTTGTAAAAAATGGATTTGGTTCTTTGTCCTTTCAAAAGCACTTCCCCAGACACTATTTGCTTTGGTACCTCTTCCAGACATTGCCATTCCTACCTCAGTCTTCCCAGGCTGAACATCAGCAACAGGGTCTAGGCACCCACCTGGATGGATCTGGATGTCTTCTTGGAGACATGGCACCATCCTTTCCAGATGGTCCAGAGTGCTAAAGGGCAAATGCACCATTGCTGCAATTAGTGAAGCTGGCAGCACCGCTGCCTCTCCTGGCAATGAACCTGGCTGTGGATGCACAGTTACAACAGCCACAGGCTGGTTTCCACTCTGTACGCCTAGCCCTTTTTTCCATGAGAGGTCTCTGGCAGCAGGGTTTACCCTTCAAACTGCAGACCTTGGAAGTTTTACAGCTCTTCACTAAAACCATTTCAGAAGTCTGCAAGCTGCAGGTACAGCAATATTAAAAGGAGACTTCCTTCGTGAAAACTAACAGCTTTACCTAGGAAAGACAACTGTCAACAAGTGCTTCCTGCATCTCTGGAAAGAAGGCAATAAAACAAAAAAATAAAATCACACAATCCTTGCATGTGTGAGGAATGAAATCTACCTTATCCACGGTCCTGAGATCACAGTCTGCCTTCAGCAGCACTTCCACCAGCTCCACATTGCCAAGATCAGCTGCCAGATGCAGAGGGGTTTCCTGCCTCTGGAATTAATGACACCAAATAAATACAATAAGTCAAACTCCCTCTTAGAAGCAGAGTGCTCACAATGTGAATCTAAAGAAGATTCACACCAAGAGACAGCCTTTGCGAACAGAATGAAATCATTTAACTTTTGAGTGATCTACCTGCCAGTTTTGTTTCAGGCAAACAAGAGAGCATCTGGGATCTCCAGAGGAAAACCAGGCATGAGTTCCTGTTGACGCAGGAAAAAGGTGCTGTCATGCCCCTCTCATGTACTGTAACCTAACGAGCTCTCTTTCTTCCCTCTTAAAACAAGGTGTTTCGGACAAAGTGCTTCGTGTGACTGTCAGCCCCAACCCATATATATTTTGAGTAACCTTTTTGCTGCTGAAATTCATGCAAAGACAACTGGACATCCATAATTTTCAACAGTACCTTGTGCCACATCCACAACAGGGTTTGTTAGCCAGCCCTGCCACAAAATGATGGTATGTAGCAGAAGTCTACCTGCTCCATAATGGGTTCAGTGAACTTCAAAACACACACGAAAAAGTGGGGGGGGGGGGGGGGAAAAAAAGAAAACCGGATCATTAACAAGAAGTACAGTGAAAGGGGCATTCAGCTTCAAGTCTGATCTTTGGGTCTGCAATGAGGGTTGCGTAGTCTCTACACAGCTGCATGTACCCAAATAAAACCTATTTATCTATTTATCCTCCTACAGAATATTAGAATAAGAAATTCCAGATGTCTATGGGTGTAATACAGCAGCAAATAAGATACGTTGTAGTTTGTGGAAGCCCTGCATATCTGGACATATCCCTTAGCATGTTTCATGTGACACAGCACCCTTTTAAGTTGAAGATTTTGTGCCTGTGCTTCTCTTGATGTTGCAAGTCTACATTCTGTAGGTCTGGTTAGAGAACATTTTTGGCCTTTGGATCTTGACTTAAAGGTTGCAGAGTCAACACCAAGACCTTACACACCAAGAAAAACCAGCCTAAGGGTGCTACATTAGAGTCTCTCATCAGCTCTTTTGGGAATACACACTATGATCACATGACCTCATAAATTTCCACCAACAATACATCCTACTTTCTTTTCTGCAGTAATTTAGAGATATGTATGTAGCTACTGTATGTAACATAAGACATGCTAGAGACAAAGCACAAAACATTTCTAAAAGATGTGTTCAAGTTTACAAAATTCTCTATTTTATGTGACAGAAAAGCTTATCATCATACTTGACTCCAGCCAAAACTGACAGCCTCTGTCTCCCACAAAAATGCATATAAATTAATCTTTAGCAATAAAATGATCAATGGGAAGGGACAAACTATGATTTCTCAAAGACTAGTCCTTGATACTATCGTGGGGAGCATCCCCATCTGTCACATGGGAGACCAGGGTGGATTTTCCCCAGCAGGGAGCCACAGTGCCGAATGTGGGACTCAACAGACCTGGTGGGACAGTCATTCCACAGCTGAGATGTAGGGTCGATGGGTGAGGGAAGAGAGATTCTCTTTGAGGCACCACAGCTGGCAGGACAGTCTATACACAGCTGGTGCCTCAACATCTGCCCAGACCATTATGGCCAGGATGCCAGCATACAACATCCATGAGCTCTGTACAACCTTCTTCCACACAGACCATGAGCACTGGATGTCATCCAGATCTTTGGAGACCTGGTTGCTGGCCAAGTCACTGTAGACCACCTCCACCACCATTAATTCCCTCAGATACTGGGTACCTTCTTCTGTGGTAGTCAACTTGCCTTGCTGGTTTACAGTATCTTCTTTGAGGAGATTACCTTGCTTTCACATTCAATAAAAGCCACCTCCAGAGCCTTGCAGGTGGCTGCCTCTCTCCTGATCCCTTTGTCAATCCAATAGTCCCTAGAGATGGACTCCAGCTGCTGGGCTTCCATACTTTCCCAGAACTGAAGCAACCGGGTAGCAATGCACTCACCTTGCTGCCTATCTCCTAGGTCATTCAGGGATGGGGACCAGGTAGCTTCCACCTCTTGTCATTCCTGTCCTTTCCCTCTCCCATCCTGCTGCAGGCCAGGCTGCCTCTTCTGACTCTTCCCCATTCCACTCCTTAGCAGGAGCTGCTGCTTCTCTTACTAACCAAGCTGACATCCACTTCCACCATTTCCTCTTGAGTACAGGGGGTTAGGTCTCTGGTTAAGCCAGTGTGTGTGCTCTCAGATTGAGTGACCTTTCAGTGTTCGTATGGGTCGCTTCAGAGAAGGAGACCTTCTTAGCATCCCTTTGTGTGCTCCTTGATCAGGAGACGCTCTTTCTCTTTTGAGGGCACTGGATGACAGCTCAGTAGGTATGGGCCAGGCCTCAACACAGCATTACAAGTAGCTGTGTTTCATCGTGGCAGGCAAGGCTCCCCTCCTTAAAATGGTGCACCATTTACCTGGGACTACATGCCTGTCCAGGCATGAAATTCCAAGCCATTGGAGGCAATAACAGCCCCAGGCACCTGCCCAGCTGCTCTCACACACTCTGCCACAGGAGGATCGCCCTCCTACAGGAACATTCCTGTGGGGCATTCCCAATTAGTTGTTTAACCATATGAACAATAATCAAAATCAGGCTCAAACTGATACACTAGTATAAACAGTATGATTACACAAGCTGTTACAAGAAGGTGGGAGAGAAGGTGTCGTGGAGGAAAAGAAGGGGTAGGTGCTATTTGTTCCTCTGTCCACAAAGCGTCTCTCCAAGGAGAAAAGGGGGAAGGTGTAACTGCTGATTTTCTCCACGAGATGGTTCTCTGAGCACCTGGATAGCAGCATCGTAGGGCGCAAAAATACTCTCACTGGCTCAAGGCCAGTGCTTTTATCACGGCCCTCCCAGGCAAAGCAAAACAAAGTGATGCAGAACACAGCAAAAGCTGAAAATGGTCATTATCATTTGTAGGAGGTTTTGCACAGCAAAAAAGGAATCAAGAAAGCCAGCATCAAAGTAAATGCACCACAGGCATCACACACACACATACGCATGCACAGAGGAGAATATCCAGCACCTGAGGGGATTAGTGGTGGTGGAGGTGGTCTACAGTGAGGTTGGACAACAACCAACCAGGCCTCTAAAGACCACACCACCATGTACAGGCCAAACAGTCCTGGTAAAGGTGGGGAAAACAGATGTCAGCGTCCCTGGGTGGGCTTGAACCACCAACCTTTCAGTTAACAGCCGAATGCGCTAACCGATTGCGCCACAGAGACCTGTAACCTCATCATTCAGTGGGATCTTGTGTGGTGTGGAGCATCGCTTTGGTCAGCTCTGGTCATCTGCTTGGTTGTGTCCCCCTGCAGCTCCCTGTGCATACCCCCTCTATTCACTGGTGGGGCAGAGTGTGAAACCAAGAAGGCCTTGATGCTGTCCAAGCACTGCTTAGCAACAGCTAAAACACTGGTGCCTCACCAGCACTGTTTTGATCACAAATATAAAACACAGCACCCTATGGGTTGCTATAAAAAAAATTTAACTCCAACCCAGCCAAGTGACACTCTGCACTGAGCTTCCCTCTGAGATCAATACTGCTGAGACCTTTCTGTTATTTATTACACATGAATTGTAACACTTGAACAATAAATTAATCCAAATATTTTCTGACTATGTAGCATTTTGCTATCCTTATCTTGCACAAACAATACTAGCACAGTATGTACCAATGACTAATACATATGCACACATGCAAAAAGATAAGGAGTGAACTGCCTCTTCCTTCCTATTTTTTTGTACCATTAGCTTGTAAGGAAAAAAAAACATTTCAAGTAAAATGCACATAATCTCCTCTTTACCAGTGAAGGTATGTCAATTCCCAGTTTTTCTTACATGATTTAAGGAGTTTATATCATGATTGGCATCCAAGAGGCTTTTTACTACTGGTAGATGATTATTGATGACTGCTAAGTGGAGAGGGGAATTCTTCTGCTGTGGAGGGAAAATAATAAACCATTATACTTGGGTACATTATTAGAAGTTCATTAAAACAAGAAAGAAGTTCTTGTTAAAATCCGCCCCTTGCAAGGGCAATAAGCTCTAGCAGATGTTCAAGACTGCAGAAAACACACCTTGAGGTGCGGAGTTATGCCAGAGATGGTAGCCTGCTCCTGCAACACCTACAGCAGCAGGTAAACAAAAACAGCTGAGAAATCTGGAAATGTTGAGTGCACAGGGTGCATATCAGTGTGTCACCCCTTAGGAATGCAGCAAGGCACTCCTCTTATGGGTTCATACCTGGGATGTGCTTCTACCCTTGGCTGACAATAGACAGCTTAGTGTAATGTTTCTGTTCCCTCAGAAAATTGAGTTTGCCCTTAGTTGAATAGGCTGGAGACAGATTAATTCTGTATTGGGTAAATAGATGTCAAAATCTACTTCCCAGGAATAAACTCTTGTCACATGTTGCTGCTGGAAATACTCTTCATACTAAACTGACTTGCTGTCATATTTATAAAAAGCAAATTACAGCTAGAAAGTAATTAAGTTTTTTTTTTTTGAGTGATTCTTTTTTATTGAAATAACTGTGGCACACATCCAACACCAGTCAGAATCCAACCATTAGATTGGCGAGATCCCTTTGTATGTTGAACCTTTGACTAATCAGTTTCTTGTTAAATATAGCTAAAGAGTAATTCCATACCAGTGCCATTCATGGGTGCCAGACACCAGTTAATTAGTGTCTTTATAAACCACAGACATTTCTTCAGGGCTACACAAAAGCAAAGCAAGCTCTTACACAGTGCTGCACTGGAAATCTTTCCAAAATGTAAGTTACAATTCTGTGAGCTTCTTCTGCTACAGAATGCCAGTGAGACCAAGCAGCACAACTGACTGAAATAAACTGAAATAAATCATTTCAAGCACATCATAAATTGTTCTTCCTTTATAACATACACAACAGGCCAGTGATCATGGCAGATAAGTCACAAAGCCCAGATTCTATTTTCATCCTGTACTATAGAAGTGGAAAATAATTTCCTATTCACAGAAAATCTCAGCTGTAACAAAACTATATTATCTAAATTGAGACAAGGTTTGAATATTAGGAATACCTCTTTCTTTTTAAACCCCAAAGAATGGTGGCATGCAGATTTCAAAGGCATATGGTTTGAGTGCAGAGGATGAAAGCACTGAAGTGTTTGTTTACCTTTTATTTACCTTTATTCAAAATCAGTTACAAGTGTTAACTCTTTGCCCATGGCATGCAGGGAGGCCTGCCTTACTGCTGGTTAGTTCTAGCAGGGTACTTTGCTCATCTTTTCTAACATTTGGCTAAGTCCTTGCCTTAGCCTGGCAACCTCTACATTGCAGCGCACCACTCTGCCCAGGCACTCGCTGGGTTTATGCAACAAGCCATTGTCTTTGTTGGTCCATACAGACTGCTAATCAACATCCATAAACCACATAATAATAAGTATAGCAAAAAAATTAAGGAACTAATCAATCTTATTCAGCTGTCTGAATTCCCAAGGAAAGCCATAAAAGACAGGACAGGCTGAACAACAGCAGAACAGCTGTACTGATGTACACTCACCTCAGGTTTAGGAACCAGGTCAATATTCTTATCAATGAGAAAAGTAACCAAAGATAGATGTCCATTCTGAATTGCAATCTGCAAAGCACTGCTATTGTTCTGAAAGAAATGGTATAGAAAACAAAAACTTACATTTTGGTTGCTGGAAAAACAGTACTAAAGAGAGCTATCAATATAGAATAATCTTTCATTTAAATTTGTGTTATTATCCCCTCCCCTAAAAAAACTCCATTTGATAAAATGATATAAAATGAAGTGGATCAGCAGTTAGCATAACATGTTTTTGTAAATACTGAAGGAACTTCCAATTTTTACTACATCACAATAAACATGCTAAAAATATTAGTATTCTACAGTCCTTTTCAATTTCTCTCTTAAGAGATAAATCAGCATTGTCAGCTATACTGTGCAATGAACAATGACAACGCCAACATGTCTGTTAGTTCAGAATGACCTTTAACAACAAGTACAGTCACATTAACAGACTTTTAAAAATAAATCAATAGAAAATTTTCACTTAATAATTCTTCTAAAACAAACAAGCTCTCAGTCTGCTGGAATCATAAACTCCTTGCAGCAGACAAGCCAAGGCCATTTAACAACTGTGAGCTGAACTGGAGTCCAGGAACCAGATGTGGAGAACAGGTTCGTCATCAGTTCAGTCATATACACTGCCAAAAAAAAGAGGATTTTCAATTACCCTAGTTGGTTACATTTCCTAGTCATGTGTTTTACTATTGGACATACAGTAAATAAAAAATCTCCACCACAGTACTCTCTCAAATAAATCTATGCTATGTTTCTTCCACATCAGTTTTATTCTGTTAGCACTCTCTACGTTCCCAATTATATTTTATTAATCACTTTATTTTTTTACCATGTCATAAAAATAAGCAGAGCAAATACACTGTTAGTACACACAGAAAAGAGAAGATAAGGTCCTTCCCACAGCCCAGGATGTCCCAGTACCTGTCCAGTGTGCTGGAGGGATACTGTGTACATACTTGAGTTAAAACATTGATGTCACTCCCTGCTTCCAGTAAGAGTTCAGCACATTTTTCATGACCACCTTCAACAGATAAGTAAAATGCAGTCTCTCCATTCTAGACCAACAAAGAGAAAATGTCTGTTCCAATTTAAGCCAAGTGACTATAAGGCTGTGACACAAACAGGTTAGCTCGATCAGTCTCATCCAGCTCAATAGAAAAGCAGAAATGGTCACAAAAGAACACAACCTGAGTGCTCCTAAATTAACTCTTAAATGAAACGGCAACTCAGCAACACTTAAGTGAGGGATGACATTTATGTGGACAGATGTACGGTCAGGTTTATGATACCGATAACTATTTCATAAATATTAATCATGCTCTTTTCAAAGAAGATTGCTAGCAACAGGCACAGAAACAAAGACGATGGGTAGTAATTGCTGCCATTCAACAACAGGCAACACCACTAGTATGCTAGCACACTCCATAAGTACCAATTTCTGTCAGCCCAATGCCATTGATTTCTGACAAATTCCCAGCTCTAGCGCTAGTTATAAGGAGCATTCTTAGCAGAATTAATCCTGTTGCATATTTACTTCAAATCTGCTCACCCCAAAGAAGCCTCCATGTCTCGACAGCAAGTCTCTAAAATAAGTTATATCAGCTGCACAATGATCTAAAGCCTGCTTATCAACTTCTAAAATACACAAAGGTTTACTGAAAGTTCCTCTAGTGTTCCAGCAGTCACAGAAGCATCAATAAATCCTGATTTTTCTTTGTTTAAAATCCTGCCACCATTATTCTAGTAAACTTAACATATTTTACAAGTGACATTATAGTGGGGTCTGCCACAGGGAGCAACAAGAAAAGCTTCTATAGGAATATCGGTGATAAAAGGAAGACTAGAGAAAATACGGGCCCTCTCCAGAAGGAAACGGGAGACCTGGTTACCCAAATTATGGAGGGGGCTGAGATACTCAATGACTTTTTTGCCTCAGTCTTCACTGACAAGTGCTGCAGCCATACCGCCCGTGTGACAGAAGGCAAGGGCAGGGACTGGGAGAATGAAGAACCACCCACTGTAGGATGAGTTTTAAGCCCATCTAAGGAACCTGAATGTGCACAAATCCATGGGACCTGATAAGATGCATCGGCAGGTGCTGAGGGAACTGGTGGATGAAGTTGCTAAGCCACTCTCCATCATATCTGAGAAGGCGTGGCAGTCCAGGGAAGGTCCCACTGACTGGAAAAGGGGAAACATAACCCCCATTTTTGAAAAGGAAAAAAAGGAAGACCTGGGGAAACACAGACTCACCTCTATGCCCAGGAACATCATGGAGAAGATGCTCCTGGAAACTATACTAAGGCACATGGAAATAAAGGAGGTGATTGGTGACAGCCAATATGGCTTCACCTAAGGGCAAATTGTGCCTGACAAATTTGGTGACCTTCTATGATAGTGTTACAGCATTGGTGCATAAGGGAAGAGCAATTGACGTCATCTACCTGGACCTGTGCAAAGCATCTGACACTGACTCACATGACATCCTTGTCTCTAAATTGGAGAGACATAGATTTTTTGATGGATGGAACATTTTGCAGATAAGGAATTGGCTGGATGGTCGCACTCAAAGAGTCACGGTCAGTGACTTGATGACAAAGTGGAGACCAGTGACAAGTGGCATTCCTCAAAAGTTAGTACTGGGAGTGGTGCTGTTTAACATCTTTGTTGGGGACATGGACAGTGGGATTGAGTGCACCCTCAGCAAGTTTGCAGACAACACTAAGCTGTGTGGTGCGGTCGACACACTGGAGGGGACGGATGCCATCCAGAGGAACCTTGACAGACTTGACTTGAGAGTTGGACCTGTGCAAACCTCATTAAATTCAACAAG